TAACGGGAAATACATTTTTTAATTTCCTTATTTTAAAGAATAGTAAAGTAAAATTAATAAATATGTATCTAGAAATCACAGATACAGAAAAATAGGTGTCGCTCTGATTGTTTCACCACTGTGCTTCACAGAGCAGTGTCATGGCTCTTTCTTTAGAAAAGCTTAAGTGCCATAAGATAATTAAAATCTTGCTACTGCCAATTAATACATGACTGTCACTAGCTCTGCTTTTCCCATACAGAAAGCAGCTACTGGGTAGGAAAGCTAAAAGTACACAATACCTATCTTGAATTGAATGCATTTTCCAGTATCTCTTCCAGATAAGCCTTCCACTGTTTTCAGCAGTTTTTATGCACTACAGATAGCATTGCTGCCTTCAGTTCTCAGCGTTGGTTTAATTGTTTACCTTAATGAAACAAATATGCCATAAAAGAATTGCAGTTGAGCAATCCTGAGTGGCATTGTGGTTCACTGTGTATCAGTCATCCTTGGGTAACACAAATTCAAAGTCATGACTTCCAGCTCCTCCTCCATGACTTCTCATTGGCCATATTGAAAGACTTGCAGAGGTAGCAAATGAAGTGTTTTCAAAACCAATTAAATCAGTTTATTGCTGAGAAAGGACTAAGCCGACCAAGGTGTCATATTCTTTCCCCTTCACCTAAAGCGGCATTCTGTGGCACAGAGTCCAACTTTGGTATAATATACTGGATAAGAAAACTGAACAGACTTCAAACCCTTTCAAGTTTTCTAGGAATGTGCTACATTAAAGTAATAGGTTACTTAGGGTTGGAATGAGATGGAGGCCAAAGCAAACTTTAACCAGGTGATTAACCCAGAGACTTTGCAGGACTTCTTGCTGGCTGCAACTCAATCAGCAGGGGATTAATATTTAATTCATGCCAATGGGTTATTGCCTGAACTTGTACTGCACTGGCTTCAGCCAAGACAATCATTGGAAATAATCACACTTGCACAAAATGGCCCAAATTTAGTGAATGATTCCGTAATTATAAAGCTTATCTTTATAACTGCAAAGAGAATAAAAAGAAAGAAGGAGTGCTCAAGATACAAAAATCAAACTAATTTCTTCTTCACAATGAGTCACACACCCAGTGTTACAGGTGGAGGTACATGTGGCATCATTTGCTGGCATCTTCATCTGGATTTTCCATATTTTGTCTTTCTCCTTATAAAGTCTGCTGCATTCCAAAAACTTTCAGTGACAAACTCCAACAGCTTTCGCTGTTTTGAATTTTCTTAATTTTACTGAAGGAGCAAATACAACAAAATTTTACAACCATGTTTGAAAAACTCTAGAAAGGAATAGCATGAATTGATTTCACTCAGAACAAATACTTCATTGGGTCCTTCTGCTTCTAATGTTCCTCAACATCACTTTACAAAGCCCAGCATACCCCACAAAGGTATCTGACATTTTTTTAACAAAATAAGTATATTCAAGATGTTATTGCTGCATTCATTTCAGTCAGGATCACAGAAGTAGCAGTACCAATCAAACAGGTATTTTTCTGCTTTGCAAATTTAAGAAGTAAAGAAAGCAAAAGAAATCAAATCAGTATTCAGGCGCACAATAGATACAAGAATAATTTTCAACCATTTCCTTGTCTTTCAGGGTTATACATAACCTACAGCATTCTTATTCAGGATGAGTAACATCTCTATTTTTTCAATTAAAAAGGAAAAATAATAAAGTAAGAGACAGAAAGCCAAAATTCATTGTTGCCCATGAACATTAGTGGGAAGTGAACACAAACCTTCCTAACCGCCCACACAGTCCTATAAAAACATCTCAACTTCTTTAAAGCACACGAGAACAGCCAGCTGCCTTGTGCTTACAAAGGATGCTCTCTTTTATTTCAGTTTGGTCTCTTTCAAACATTTCCCAATAAACTTTTATAGCCAATCTCTTCTCCAACTTTGCGTGCTAAAAATTAATTTCTTCAAGTCAGATAGTCAGGTTTTCTGAGACAATGAACTTGCACTTCCCCCAGTTTCCAATACAACTCTAATTTCTTGGCACATTTTAAAGACATGCTACAGAACAAGATTCATATGAGGGATATTTACTACACTAATAACAATATCCAATTAGCTGTTCTCCTGAATGGATTGACAAGATCAACTCCTGCTAGGCTACATTCATTTCAGCCAAACATGCTACACTGCATTATATCTAACACTGGCTTAACTGAAAGATACTCTTTTGTGAGTTTTGAAGGAAAGAAAGCTCTACCGATACAGCTCAATAGCAAGGTGAGCACAGAACTACTGGAAATGTCAAAATAAATGCATTTTTACTTAAGGAAGTGCTTGTGATACTCTCTCATGTACTCCATCCAAACTTGTCCTACATTTTAGTAGATAACAATATATTCAGAAATATGTACATTTCTGAATTTCATCCACCGAGATACATTAATAGATGTATCTACAGATACATTGATCAGATATTCCTATTCAATAATGTCATTAAATCTCATTATCAAGAAACTAAAAAAAACCAAACCCAACCTAACAACCCAAAAAGCAAAGACTTGCTGCCAGCCCTGTTCAACTTTCCCACAGAATCTACCCTCATGTGGAAATGAGAGGCTATTGGAGAATAAAAATAAACCCACTCACTTGACGATTCAATGCAGCAGGTCAAGAAAAAGAAACATACTTGTAATTCCTCATTAAAGCCCTCTATACTGGAGAGATCACACTAATTGAGCTGGAGACTCTTCAGGACAGCTCTCTAGGTAGAAAAACCCTAACAGATACACTTGCATGCACAGTCAATTATTTGTTCACTTGGCTTTGCCAGTTGTTGCAATTAGTCTTACTTCCAATCTAGTGCAACCCACAGTTTCATTGTGTTGGAAAGGGAATTCTTTTTGCCCTCTTGTTGTGAGGCTCAACATTTAATAACTAAGTGGCTTGTTTTTAAAAGGTTTAAAAGTTTTAGAAACAGAAAACTGTTTCTAAAACTTCACATTTACTGAAGAGAAAAGCCACTAAGTCCTGCCTTCTCAAGTGTGATTTGAAACATCCAGACCACTTGTTCCACCGCAATCTTTTTTCTTGGATGGTTTGAGGTTCATGTAGGCAACATTCCATTTCACCTCTGTGCACAGAAGTGCATCGTCTTTCCAGGCAGATGGGTACAACAAGGGAATACTTTTTACAGGAATAGCAAAGCGAATAGTTCTGCTAACTCCCCCAGAAGTACACAGCTGAGAGTGGAGGTTTTTATATTCTGGTTAAGGAGTTTGATCAATCCCTACACACTCACGTTCACTGCTATGACTGCTGCTGCCAGGCACACAGACACTAAGAACAACCTCTCCATCTGCTGGCTTGCAAAATCTGAGCGGCTAAATGCAGACTGCATCCACCCTTGTTCATTTTGAGTGAACATTTTATGGTACAGGGCATGTGAACTTTTCATTTAATGAATGTATGTCAAAGATGACGATAAGTTGCTATCTAAAAAACACACTGCCTTTTGAGGCTAGGTCTGCAGGAGAAGCAATCAGCAGCTGCCGAGCTCAGATAGGAAAAGTGCAACAGGTGGCTTAGTAAAGAGGGTTTGACAAAGCAGGCAAATGAGTAACAAAAGAAAGGTTTCTGGAAGAGAAGTCACAGTGGATTGGGGAAGAAGGTACAGAACCACATACGCAGGAATTGGTCTGTTAGGAGTACCTCAGGAATAAGGCTGAAAGTGCCTGGGTAACACAGGCAAAACCAAATTCACAGGGTGCTTACGTAGCACAGGCCAAGACAGTGATTTCTGTTGTAGTATTTGCCAACAAACAGAGGAGGCAAGGTGGAGGTCACGGCTGCGCTACCCAGGGCTAGAAAAACACATGGGCCAAGCAGTGTCACAAGCAGCCCAAGACTCGAAAGGAACTATTCAGTGAACAGAAAAAGGTACATCCAATACTGCTGAAGTCATAGTACCTGTAGGAAGTACCCACTTGTATATCCTAAAGCGTGGACAACGTTAGAAGAAACTCTACTGCACAGCATATGCATACCAACACACACTAGAAGAGCATCAGAACACTCGAGTCTTAATTTTGCAGTAAGAATTAAAGCAGCTCCAGGAAAAAAAAAAAGAAAAAAGTATTACTTCTTAAAACGTAGCATTTTGTAGATAAGGATATGCTTCTACTCAAATGCCCAAGCACAATTATATAAATTCATAATGGAGCTCAATTATGTTTTCAGTTATTCACGCAGCTCTTGTACAACTAGTTCGCAACACAACAGTACTGAACTCCCCCAGGCTTCGAGCGAAGAGGCTCCACAGCACCTGAGTGCAAACCACAGACACCTCTGAGCCCCAGGGCACGGGCCCTGGCAGAGGCCACCCCGGCTCTGCCCGCTGCGTGCCCAAAGCCCTGCGGGGCTTCCCGGCAGGCGGAGGGGCCGGGGCACCCGGGCTCGCGGGCTGCGAGCGCCAGGCTGATCCGGACCCCAAGGCGAGCCGGGACAGCGCGTAGCAGAGCAGCAGCCCGGGAGCGGGCCGGGCCGCAGCAGCGGGAAGCGGCGGTAACTCACCCGAGTGCGAAGCGGCAGCGCTCGGGCCCGCCGGGGGCAGCGACTTGAGGCTGTACCCGGCTCGGGCAGCCCCTCCGGCGCCGGCGCCTCCCGGGCCGCTCCCTCGGGGGCGGCTCCGGCCCCTGGCCCTGCCCAGCCCTGCCGAGGCTGCCACTCAGCGCCCGCGGGAGCCGCGGAGGCGGCGGCTTTCCCGGCAGCGGCGGCGGCCGTGCCGGGCATCTCCGTGCTCACCGCTGCCGCGGCCCAGTGCCCGAGCCCTGCGGCCCCGGGCAGCCCCTGCTCCGGGTGTCCGGTGAGTGGAGGAGCGGCCCTGCTCCGGGCGAGCCCGCTGAGCTCGGCGCTGGAGCAGGGGCGCTGCCGGCAGCCCGGCGGGCAGCGCGGAGGGACGGCCGAGCCCGGGTACAGCCGTGTCCGTGTCCGCCGGCTGCCGCTGCCGGGCGGGGGATCCCGAGGGAGCCATCGAACCAGCCGAAACAGGGAGAGACAGCGAGATTCGGGCTTGGCGCGCACCAAGCGTTTGGAATTGGTAGCTCCGGTGAGGTTGCCCTCGCAGCGGCAGTGGTACAACTCCTGATACCATTTTATCAACCTTTTCCGGCTGTTTAATATGCAATACACATTAAAACAACACATCGCAGCCCCCAATACATCTACTTCTTAGGAGTCACAAAGCCTGTGCCAGAGCGTGCCTAGAAGTAAGGGGGGATGCTTCAGACGGGCCACAGGCTGCCATCCTTCCATGTGTCAGAGTTACCAAATTATTGCAGTGTATTATCTTAAAGCACCCGTCATTCTGTGGTGAATTACATTACTCAGAGAGCAAACTGAACTCCCCTTGAAAGTCAAACCGTTCATCAATTCAGTGCACTGAACACCACTTTGAAAAGGGTCTGCTGCCCTTGTGTGTGTAGCCTGGCTGGCAGTATGTGACAATATGGACCTTTCACATGATCCTTTGATCACTACTTGAGCCCATTTCTGAGGGTACCTGCAATGACTAATTGAACCAAATAGTGTGGAATTAGGACACTTCACACTAAACGTGATAAATCTCCCTATTCCCTTGAGGGTGTTCAGTTTCTGTGCTTTGCAGCCAGACACTGCGCCGAGTTTCTCTCAGACCCTGCTTTGGGTATGCACCCCTGCTGGGCTGTTGGGGCCATTTAAACAGAGCTAGAGTGAAGATCTCATGTTCAGGTTTGCCCTTCCAGATACAAGACTGTGGCTTTACAACTTAAAAAAATAGCACAAGTGTATAAATTCAGTACATCTCTAGTAATTTAAAAGTTCTGTGCGCCTTAATGTTGTAGCTGTGTGTCTACCCAAAGATACTCCTTGCTGTAATTATATTAAATTGATATATCCCTTGGAAAGAAGAAGAACCTGCAATTTAAGTAGATTTCTTATATGCATATTTGGTAACTGTACAAGATGTAGTGGAAGCACTTCCCTTACAATGGAAGTTTAGTTAAAGCACGTCCATGGAGCCACTAAGGTCTAAACAGGAGATGTGCTGAATATATTAGGTATATTAAAGCAGCTCTAACAATGCTATGGTTTTGATTCCATGGAAGTAGAATGCAAGGTGACAATGAATCACTTGTAATGGAAAACAAAAAGCAAAATTTAAAGCATATTCCAGCATTTCTGCATTTCATTTTTGTAGTGCCACTTTATTCTGAGGTCTGAAAGTGAACCCAAGTGAATCCAACAAGAAGGGCTCTTGTTGAAGATTCTGGAGAAACTGAAGCAGGCTGTTGCAAGTTACAAAACCTTTGAATGCAGCTGCTGCCAGATCCTTGCAAATTATGTTTTTATTAAGTACCAGCTTTTGACTTTTTCAGTATTATAAAAGAAACAGTAAGCAGACCATGTTAGCACAAAAGGAGTAATACACAATGTCAGTTCATGAAAAAAAATGCTGTGAAGCTATAAAAGTGTCTTCTACATGCTTTATTTAATAGAAAAAAAACTAAAGTGTGAATCTTAGGCATTGGCATAGGTTGAATCATAGTGCAGAAATAGTGTGCAGAGCCAAGCAGCTTGCTTGGAGCCTGGGGTGAAAAAAAATGGCAAGGACACTTTCTGGTCAGGCAGATAAAAGAGCACTGACCATATATTTCATTTGTGTTCCTTACTTAATTTCTTTTCTCCTTTCCTTATCTTCACACCTTGTGCTCAGGCAGACCAGCACTTCATTTCTAATGAGAAGGCAGTCATCCAAAAACCAGCTTAATGAAAATGCTGCATTGCACTGGATTATTCCTGCTGTACACTGCTGAGGAATGAGGTGAATGGCTTTGGGAGCTTCTGAAACAAAAGTACCTGCAGTGCTTTTATGATATTGCCATTTTCTGTCATCAGACAATCTGGAATACCTGGAAACACAGATCTGTTTGTGAGTTGTCATTTACAGATTTTTATATAGTGAAGTTTTGAAGAAAATGTTTTCATTTAACATAGCATCTTTTTAATCCTGAAGTTTATTTGGGATATAGTAATATCCCAAATACATGGAGGAATCTGGCCCTACATGTAGTGCTCTAGTCTCTGCTAAGTATAAACTTTTCACCACAGAAGAAAAATCTAAATGCTTTTTCCATTTGCCATATTCCCGTTTGTATACATTAATTTACATTATAAAAAGTGCATAACTTATTCTAGATGTATTGACACTCACTATTGCAGTATTACATTTTATATGCAAATGACATTAATATAATTTCTGGGAAATTTAAAGTAGCTAAAGTAGTATATTCAAGATAACTCAAGCTGGTACATTACAAAGAGGACAGAGAACTTTCTATGGCACATATTTTAAATGTTACATGTTGCCTATTTTGATATTAGACATTCTCATTCCTATTCTTGCACTAGACTTTTTCTCAGTTATAATATTTAGAAAAATATTTATTTTATTATCAGAATTTATTATTATATGTTTTAATGTTATTTTAAAATAATTTATGTGCATAGAATTTTATATTAATTTATATTACAATATTTGGGAAACTTGATAGTGCCACCTACTGCTGAAAAACAAACTTTTTAAAAACTTGCTAGTTTGGGTACCTTCAGATTAAAGGGCAATGTAAGAAAATATCTGTTGAAATAACAACTTTCAAACTTCTGAAAAATGTTGGGAACAAGTCCCGACTTGCCAAGTCAGCTTCAGTCACTGAATTTCTGACCTTTCAACCAGTGACTATTTTGACCGAAACTGTAATGAGAAGTGACTCTGAGGATCTGGGATTTTGAGGGTTTTTTGATGTTACATTTTTAGTAAAGAATTTTAGCTTTAAATCAATCCTGGTGATATCCCTAGAAAAACACTGATGAAAGGAAACAGTGAAGCAACATCTATTTTTCACTCAGTGGTAGGAAGACATCCTCTGTTTTACAGAGGTCTCTGCATGAAATGTAAACCAAACAGCCAGAATTGCCACGACATGTGACACAAGTTCTGTTCCCTTCTTACATCACAGAGTCATGAGATGGACCAGAGATCCCTGCTTGCTAATTTGCTTAAGATGGCATGTTTGCCATGGCTGGAATTCATCCTCCCTAACCCCTACCATCTGAAAGCTAGGTGAGGTTAACACACAGTGTGAAGTACAGTACTGGTTCTTTCGTGTCCTCATGGAGCAGACCCTGTCTCTAGGACTAGTGAAATAGTTACCATGTGCCCACAACCTTTGCCCACATCCCAGACATTAAGTATTGGTTATGATTTTGTTCCCAGGAACTGTGGAAATACCGGAAGTGGTAAGACTTTGTACATGAACATGACTAAGTGAAATATACACCCTTAATCTTCCTGAGGAAAGTTCAGCTTTAAATTTGACTCAGGAGAGTCAGGAGCAGTTGATCTTCTGCTGGTACTTGTCTCATCCTGTAGAATAAGCTGGCATTGATATGATTTGAATGTGTGATTGTCAGAGTTGCTGTCTTGTTACAGCTTGATGACTTAACCTTAGAAATCAACTTTCTTTCAATTTGAAAAGTTCTTGAGAACAATGGATTAAAAGAGAGAAAAGATAACACAGGGATGTTTTAGCTGTTGCTGAGCAGTGCTTGCACAGTGTCAGGGCCTTCTCTGTTTCTCGGGCTGTCCCAACAGGGAGCTGACTGGGGGTGCACAAGGAGCTGGGAGGGGACACAGCTGAGACAGCTGACCCCAACTGACCACAGGGATATTCCAGACCATATGATGTTGTGCTCAGCATATAAGGCTGGGAGAAGAAGGAAGGAAAGGGTGATGTTTGGACTGGCTGTGTTTCTCTTCCCAAGTCACCAATACCTGGAGTGAAGCCCTGCTTTCCTGGAGATGGCTGAATGCCTGCCTGTTGATAGGAAGTGAATAAATTCCTTCTTCTGCTTTGTTTGTGTGCATGGCTTTTGCTTTCCCTATTAAACTGTCTTTATCTCAGCCCACGAATTTTCCCACTTTTTTGTAATTATCTCCCTCATCCCATTGGGATAAATGGGCATGTGGTTATGTAGGGCTGAGCTGCCCACTAGGGTTAAACCTTGACAGTGCTATTTTGGTGACCAACTTGGGGCTCAAATGCTTTGAGTTAATGAATGGTTTGGCTGGAGTCTGCTAGACTGAATTTATAGCTTTTAGTGCTATTTACCTATTCATTGGCAGGTGCTGTGGTTGACATAGGACTTGCTTGCCCTGCTGCACATTAGTCTAGAGCTTGTTAGTGGCTTCTTTTCACCCTGGCTGTTTGCTGTAGGGCTTATCATCCTACCCAGCTGTGCCTGGGAGCATTTTGATAACAGCCCTGGCGATGTGCCTGTGCTGGCCCATGGCCTGGGTGTCGCTGCTGGCCCAGACAGGCTGCAGCTCCAGTGCCACCTTGAATTGAAGGGACCTGACCTGTGGATAAGTACCTGCAGGAGCAGGACAACCTGAAGTGTCTGTGGTTGTGGATGAGACCATGTTGGAGCAGAAGCATCTATGGGCATGGATATGTCCATAGCAGAGCAGGTACACTCCTGGAGAGACTGTGGCCCTTGGATGGGGCTGTGCTGGAGGAGGTGCACCTCAAAGTGACTGTGGCTGTGGCTGTGTGTAAGGCCAGGCCACATCACCTGTACCCTGCAGAGACTGTGGCCCATGAGTACACACACTGGAGCTGGTCCACCCCTAAGGGACTGGAGTCCCTGGATAAGTCGACACTCAAAGAGAGATAGAAACTATATATAATATATATATATATATATAATGGATGCACCTTTAAATTGTTGTAAACTATGATCTGAGTTGCATGTTATAGGATTACTGTAGCAGGAACCACTGCCAGTGGAGAACACGCCGTGCAAGAAGAGGGGCACGTGCAGCAGTGACCCGACCTGAGCTGGCTTTGGTGCCCAGTAAGTCCAGACAACACAGCAGCTCTCTGGTCCTGAGTGACCATCCATCCTGAGTGGATGAATGAATCCAATGGACATTTCACAGGCATTTTATGGACATTTTACAGGGAATGATACCTGTGAAGATATCAAAGGATGGGAAAGAGGAAGGTGGCTAATGAGTATTTATTGGATGGTATGGGACCTGAGCATGATGTAAATAGTGGGAATAAGGTGTGGAGATTGTACTGGCTATTGTTGGGATAGAGTTAATTTTCTTCATGGTGGCTTGTATGGTGCTATGGTTTGGATTTGTGATGAAAACAGTGCTGATAAAACAGTAATGTTTGTGCTTCTCATGTGACATAGGGAACACCTGCACTGTGACCAAGGAGGAAGGATGAGCACTCTCACCCTTGGATAGGTATTTTCCTCATATGCAAAGTGCATGAGTTACAAGTTAATGAATTGCATGTTATGAATTAGAGAACTTGTGAGTTACAAACCTCATGACTGAATTAGTGAATTCATGATGAATTAGTGAATTCATGAGCTAGACTAGTTTGTACAAAGGGGATCGAGCCCTACTTCATAATGTTTTCTTTCTTTCCTAATGAGCTTATAAAATAAAGTTTAATTTGCAAAGTACATTGTCCTGTGAATATGAGAGATCCAAACAGACCATGACAGATTGAGTGGTCTGTGGCCCTTCTCCCTATTGCCTGTCCAAATATTTTAAAACAGAGGCAAACAGGCAATGACTAGGGATCCTCTGAAAGGAGTAGGGAAAATCCTTCATAAAATTTAAGTTCTGTGTGCCTTGTCTACTCCACATTTTATTTTCCTTTAAGGGCTTTGCCAAAGACTTCTGGTGGCTGCTTTTATTTTTCAGGGAAGTTATAGTCCACCCAGTCCTTCCCTCTTGTTTCACTCACTGTGGACTATGGACTTTTAGTGTTAATGTGTGTCAGCCAAAATAATTAAAAGCAATGCACGCTGTATCCCAGAAAACTAGAAAGGTTGCAAACGTGCTTCTTTCATCACAGAGAAATATGCAAAATCAAATCACAGTCAGCAGGAAAATGAATAAGCTATTTGATAATACCATGTGCAACAAAACAGCATCATAAAAATGAAATTATTTACAGTAGCATTCAAATCACACAGTCATCATTGATTTAGTTTCCAATTATACAGAGGTAATTGTATTAACAAACTGCCTTATTCACTTTGGTGGGAAAACAATTGAAAGTTTTAGTGTCCTGGCATCTGAAAATAATAAATGATATTATCTGTGCACCCAATCCGACCAGAATCCTAATGCTTTTTTTACCCAGGGCATAATACAGTATCAATATGCCTGAGATGAAAGATACTTCTATGACTTTCTGGAGCCAAGACAGTTCTGGAATAAATCTAGAATAGAATAAGCATTCTAGAAATAAATATTGAAATATACTAAAATAGATAAAGGAACTTATTCTGGAATTAATGACCCTGTATACTATTTACATTACAAGTTCAATTGTTTGAATAGAAATGTTTGCAGCCTGCATTGCATTGAATACAGTGGGAAGAGTTTTTTTTAAAAAACTCGTTTTGTGACTTCAACTGCTGAAGCCAGACTAACTCTAAATAAACATTTTACAAAGACTCTAAAAGCATCATGGGCTTTAGAGTCAGAACCCCATGTTTGATATAATGTTCAACCCCCCAGGATCCTCCAAGTGTTGGAATACAGTTATGCCATAGGTGAGCTGACCCAGCTTCTGCATGCCTTTCTTTCCTTTTAAATTCTCAAGCATTCCCAGGAGCCTAGATTTTTCTGAACTGCACACTGTAATTGATCATGGATTTTTTGTTGCCCCTTCCACACCCCAAAAAATCCAGAAAGTGGGAAAGTGAGAATAATGCGAGGTCTCCTTGACTTTCATTTTCTGATGCAAGAGGTAATACATGCATTGGCAGAATATCTGTTCTATCAAAGTATTTTAGTCTACTAAGTCTGTACAAATAGAACTCTTAACAGAAACTGTCTTTAATTTATGGTTTGTTCATAATCTCTTCTAGGGAATACCTTCCTTATCTTCTACCTCTTCATTCTGTGTGTCTTCTGTAAAAAAAGTGTTTGCTAAATAGGGAAGACCCTAAGTTATTTACTGTTCTGATTTTCAGAGAGAATGGGACAAGCTAGCTGCTTTACCACCTTTATTTTTTTCTTGCCTTTTTTTTTTTTAGATTTTCCTCCTGATTGTCACATGACATAGGAATATAAAACATTGTTCACTCCTTCTGCCTCTTGTCACGCCCCACATATTCTGCTAATGCAGCAGGCAGTCTTTCATTACCAAGTTTAAAATCTAAACAATCTGCTGTCTCTATTCACACAGTTCTGCAGGAGCTGTATTTGAATAGGAAGCAGTATCAAAGAATCTGTGTGGCCCTTAGCACTGGACTGGACCATGTGCCTTGTTTATATCTGAATACCGGTTAGAAATCTGGGAGGTTTGTCTCTGGGAGTGAGTTTCTGAGAAGACAAAACCTAAGCTTGATTCTCAGAATGTGTAAATGCAAGCCTCGTTTTTATACGCTGTGGGGATCTGCTGCCAGAGTAATTTTGTGGCTGCTCAGCAGCAGCAGCTAACAAAGCAGTGTCAGTATCTCTGGTAGCCCATGACCTGCTAACCCCCTTTTTCTGCTTTCTATTTCTAAGTAGCTTGTTCCAGAAGAAGTTATCCGCTATGAGTTCCCCTTAATCACTCTTAAAGGTTTGGAGAAGTTAAACATATGCACATATTTCAAAATAAGCTTGGCCTCCAGCCAATGATTGTTTTTCTGGCTTTTTTTCAGAATTCTTTCTCATTTATCTTTTTCTTTTTGATAATGTTGGGGATACAACAGAATATTTTAGGCCTAAATGAAAAAGGAAATTGCTTAACTTGATGATGTTACAGCTCTTAATGTGGAGTCTAAAATGGCATTGCTCCTTTGCCTTGCCATATCCTGTACAAACTCACATCTAGCTGCCAAGGAAGAAGGACAGTTTCTAATAATTTTCTTTTCCAATTCATACTTTTCAAGCTATTTATTCCACTGAAAGATTACTTGGATTATTTGTACACTATTTATCAATTTGCCTTATTCTAGATCAAAACAACTTTTGAGTGCATCATTTCTTTACACCTCATCTATAATTCTTCATTTGCAGATTTTTGAGACGTACAATTGTAAATGTCAGCAGAGTTTTGAAGTTCACTTCATTATCCTTTTGAAAATACTAAAAAAACCACCAGTCCTCAACCCCATATCTCTCACAACCCAAACATCTCCTCGCAGTTCAATGTATCCTATGTCTTTGCAGCTGTGTATTGAGGTTCCCAGTATCTACTGGGGTTTCCAGCATAAGGTAAACCATGTTTAAGAGGGAGAAGCTGATGTGGGAGCTGGAGCAGTATTTTGGTAGCTGGCAGAGCGAGGCAGTGGGGCTGTAAGCAGCCTGAGAGCATCCCAGGGAAATGGCTTGCTGCTGGCAGGGTGTCAGCAGCAGCAGCAGCAGGACAGAGGGAGGCAGGAGACACGACAGAACTGCAGATGTGACTGGCAGAAGACTGCTGTCAAATGGTGCCAACACGACCCACTCCAAATTACTGTATTCTTCCTTTTTGATTCAGCTGCAGGGCTGATAAGGCTGCCTCTGTTAAGAGGTAATTGTGCTCACAGGAGTTGCCCTGTTTGTTCCTGGAAAGCCGTGGAGCAGTGGTGCTGCTTCTGCAGCCCCTGTGCTACACGAGGTAAGGAGCCTGCAATGCACCTGCACTGCAGCACCAGCACTGACTGGGCAGTCAGCGCCTGTGCTCAGGGCACAGCTCTCCTCAGCAACTCACAGCTGGCACAGCAAAGCCAGCTGGGATTCATCATTCAACTTAGATCTTTACAAAATATGATTTGAAACCTTTTTTTAAAAATCTGCTACATTTCATATGCTGCCTTCTCTTCAGCCATTCCTTTTATAAATCTGTCTGAACAGAGTTTACACTCAAGTTTACACAGGACAAATTTTTTAATAAGACCATAATATTTTTAGACTGTAGCCCTAGAACTTTCCAGATGTTGAGCAATCACACTGCAATTTTTCTAGTAATACTCACTAGGAAATGAAATTATGCTTAGCAGAGACTGATGCCAAGTACCACTCCTTTTCCTTGTTAAAAGTGATGAGATGTTTTGTTAATAGATGTTTCTCAGCTTTCCACATCTATTGTGGTGATAATTTATGTTGTAATTGCAATTAGTGTATCACATGCTCCAGAAACTATAGCAGAATGCAGCTACTATCCAATGCAGCAAACATAAAGATTGCCTGTATTCATTTGCAGTTTCTTAATCAATTGATTAAGAATCTGATTTTTTATCAAGCTTTCTGTTTGCAAGGTCACCAAGGCTGCTTTTCTTAGCTTTAAATGTGTGTTACATCAGCTCACAGACTGTTTTCAAGTGCAACAAGAGCTGGAGGTGTGTTGCTTGATGGAAACAAGTCCCCCGACTGTATATGTTTTGCTTAGGTGAGCTGATGATATCAAGCAAAAAAAGTAGGCTTGGAGTAGTCCTCATGCTATACTTCAAGATATTCTAGACCTTTGTAAGTCTTTTTAGGTTACTATGCAAACAATGAAAATGAGAACTTTTTGGAATGAGATTTTGCTGCAGTTCATACATGTAACTTTTTCTCTGCTAATATAGACACTAAGTTGGCTGTATTAGTTGGCTAGCTTTGATAAACTAAATTGTTGGGACTCTGCCTGATTTCCTTGCTAAATGTGAAGCTGTTTTTAAAGAGATTTGGTGAGAAAACACTGCACAGTGAATTTCACTAACTCCGGCTGGCTTGTAATGGAAAGGCCTGCAGTTACCCTTAGGCATGAACTTGATTACATGAAGAATAAAAAATACAAAATAAATCACATGCTTTAATTCTAAATTACATTATTTGATATAATAAGAACTTCCATACCAGATAAAATCTAAATTAGTTGTCTGCCAATAGTAATTCCCAGATGTCTCTGAGGAAATTGGCCTATTCTTCAACCTCCTTTCCCCCCTCTGCAAGTATAATTGATAATTATGTAACAGCCTGACTCTAGGGGAAGTTATTTTCTAACCTCGGGCTGGTGGCTGATTTATGCCCTGAACTGTGAACATTTATATCCATTATGAATTTTTATCAGGTCCAATCTACTTCCCCGCACAAATGTATGAATATGTATGTATAACCTTTTACTGAATCCTGCTAAGCACTTGGCCTCAATGATATCATTTGCCAGCATGTTTCACAGACATATTACTTTTGACTTTAAATATAATGCCTTTTACTTTCATTATGACCATCAGTATTTGCTTGGGGAATGTATCAGTGGTAGTGATAACCCCCAATTCCTTTTCCCCAGTAACTGCCTGCTCTGAACAACTTTCAAGCCTCAGCTGGATCCTGTGCACCTGTGCTGGACCAGAAGGTAACAATCTCCATCCTGCCAACATTTCCTGCTCCATCCCTCTTAGTCCAGACTTCACCTTTACATTATGGGTTGATGACAGGCACAAGGATGATGCTTGCAGTAAATGAAAAGGTTTAAAGTGTCTTTAGGACTATCTACAATCACTCTGCTGCACCATGACTTCCTGAATTTGCAGGGGTCATTTCCTTTTAATGTCAAGAGAAGAGTTTATTTTGGGGAAAAGAAGTTGTTTTGGACTATGGGAAAGACATTTGTTTTGATTTGTGTTGGGTCAGGTCAAAGAGGTGCTTTTGTAAAATACTGGGGAAGGAGGACTTAATCTTAGAGTGGGCTATTACAACTACATTTTACCACACAATTTGTGTTGGGTCAGGTCAAAGAGGTGCAAAGAGGTGCTTTTGTAAAATACTGGGGAAGGACGACTTAATCTTGGGGTGGGCTATTACAACTTTTACCACAGGAAAAGAGTAGATTATGTTTGATTTGGAGGAAATTGATTATACCTGGTAAAAGAAGGTTTGATTAGGAATGATTCTGTTTTACCTAAACACAGAATTTCACTTAATGTCTACATGGGCTGACTACTGCCATGATAAGAATATTTGGGTTTTGACTAGAGGCAAAAGAAGGTGAGACAGACTGTAAGAAAGATCATGCAGAAGCAGCAAGAAAAAAACATGTTTTCCTTTTTCCTCTCAGTCCTGAGACATTATTGGTGACATGTGCAGTGATAAGAGGACAATGAGACCAAGTTCAATGGTCCATGCATGAAAAAAGACAAGTTTGTGAATCCTCATAACACACTCTCAGTGAGGAACTATTATCGGGCTGGAAAAGTTGATTTATGAAGAACAGGGATATATGCAAAGCCAAAAGGGACATGTGGGGTGGTTACAACAGACAATTGGCAGTAACTCCATACAGTGATCATAATCAGTATT